CGGCCCCGCGCTGCTCCAATTTCATGACACGCCGCGATACACACACATACACACGTACGAATGTGCCAGTCAACTCGTATCGATCACCGCTCGCTCGACGACGACGGCGACGGCCTTCGACGGTGTAACCGTATCTCCCCGTTCGTTGTAATGGGCAACACCTAATGTCCTAATGAGTCGATAGACGTCGTCAAGCGTCACGGAAATTCGATTATCGCCGAATGCATCGTCGCCGTTTGGAACGGGTGTCGTCGACGAGCGCGAGCTTCGCGGCTTGTAATTTTTGCTCGGACAACCGCGGCCGTTTTGCATATAGACAGACACGGCTACTGCTCGCGTCCATACCTCGCGATACATTCGTGTCGTCGTATTTAGGTTGCGTCGTTCAACCCACTTCGTGGACTCTTTTGGGTCGGCGCGATGCAGCGTGGATACGTACATCATAGGGTCCGAATGTCGATTCGCGAAAGACTACAGCGAAAAAATTGTCATTTCTTTCTTTCTCTTTCCCCTATTTTTTTACCTCGTATTTTATCTCACACGCATTCACATAGGGTCGCTCTGCGCGACTGCGTGTAACTCTTGACGTTTTATTTATCGATCCTTTTAAGGCTCAGGCATCGATCTCACTCGAGTAAGATTTTTTTTTCTTTATAAAATAGTCGAAAAAGACTAACTTTTGATGAGAAGTTTTGTAGTCCGAATAAATTTTACCGTCGAGAATATGATTTTCAGAATTTGCATAATTGTAACACTCAATTGCAAAACGGTTTTCACACATTTTTTTTCTAATAAAGTTGCAGCGCTTTCAGTTGCCACAATTGTGAACCACTGTTGACGAGTTTACGCAGTAATTAGTCAGCAACAAAAGATATAGCCAATCGCTGTGCAAATTGATCAATGACAATTTTGAGCGCTGCAACTTGATCAGAAAAAAGTGTGAAACTGTTTTGCAACTGAGTGCAGCACGTGTTTGCACATATGTATCCCAGAGTTACGAAATCTAATAAATCTTATAACCATGCACTAAAAAAAAAAAGATTTGGTTGAATTAACCAAATATCTAATCGAATATGAACGATCCAGAAATTCCGATTGAAGTAACCCGAATTCTGTTTAAGTTAACAAGACTTTTGGTAGACTAACCAAATATGTCTGGTTATTTAACCAGACATGTCTTTTACTCTCTGGTTAAATAATCAGACATGTTTGGTTAGTCTACCAAGATTCTTGTTAACTTAAATAGAATTCGGATTACTTCAATCGGAATTTCTGAATCGTTCATATTCAATCAGATATTTGGCTAATTCAACTAAAGCTTTTTTTCTATGTGTTAATCTGGAGTATTGTTCTATATTATCCCCTTATCAGAATGGATCCTCATATTTAATGTATTTATGCATCTTTTAAAAAAATTAGTTCCTATCTTGATAAGTCATGCGTTACCATGACAAGCAATGCAACGTGGTCGACAACTATCCATCACTATTCAGAAGCGCGATGAATATTTCGTCTTTTTGCAATTCTCAAAGACGCGCATACACAGTAGTACTATACGTGACACAATAGTTATTGCTCGAGATGAGATTTTTATACTAATTAGAAATAACAGGCAATGCAAGCTACAGCGTCGGGAAAAAACATGTCATAATAACAGATCCAAAATCTTGTTAACTTAAACAGGAATTCGGGTTACTTTAATTGGAATTTTTGGATCGTTCATATTCGATCAGATATTTGGTTAATTCAACCAAATCTTTTTTTTTCCGTGCAAGATATAAAAAAAAGAGATCCATTCATAACGATACATGCTACAAGCAGTATAATTAAACGCGAAGCATCAAGATTCGCTAATATTTCAATACGTATTTGTCAACACAGATGACAGCGTTCCGATGTTTTAAATGATTTCAACCGATCATAGAGCAATGATGATTCTTTTTTTTTACGGAGTACACTGAGAGAAAAGACTGGTAACTATAACAAACTGCATTTAGTTACAGAAATTCATTGAATCCTTAGTAACTAATACTAAATATGATAATAATTACCAAATATTTAATAGATCGGGAGTATGACGTAATTGCATTCACAGTAACATCAATTAAATAATTTAGTAATAGTTACTTAATGTTAAATATTTAATATAATACAGTTAAATATATTACAGTTATGAACAAATATTTGATAATTGTTATGAAATCGTTATATCCCATATAATAAAAAATTCAGTAGGTACGAGTTCTATTTTGTTACCAGTATAAGTATGCTTTGTTGCAGCACAACGAAAAATTCATTCATTTGCAGCTATTACATCGTTTCAATATCTATTATTACAGATAGTTGGTTGAACCTATCAAAAATTTTGTAACTATTACAAAATCGCTTATTTTGCTCAACTATTCAATAAGTTTTATTTACCAAATATATTCTGGAAGCAAATAAATTTTACTTCTGTCAAATAAATAATTTATTTTACAGAACTAAATTAATTAATAAATATTGCCATAGCTTTGGCCCGCTATATTTACGTCTATCATTTAGTAATAGTAACCAAATTTTGATAATATTTACTAAATATTTCTCTCAGTGTAATATTCCTATTCCATGTACGGTTATAACCGATTTTGGATGGACCATTTTGATTGCAAACGTTTTTGCAAAATACAATGATTTTTACGATTATTTACACGAATGCTAAATGATTGCAGTTAAAAGGGATATTAATATAATTCCACTTTGTTATATTAGATTAAACGTCAGTCATATTATTCACATGATAGCAAAGTAGAAGAACCAGCGAAAAAATATTAGTGCAAATATTTCATCTTCGCTGCATTAACTAAGCATATAAAATGGATTCCTTGAAAAATTGCAATATTTCATGGAATTCATATTAAGCGTTGCTTTAAGCAAATGTATCGGTTGTGCAACGAATGAAAAATCGTTACTATCTAACGAACATATTGGACTATTTGAATAGCATTATTAAAAGTAATACTAATATTAGTAGTGACGATAAAAATCCGCAAAACGAATCCTTCCTTAACGATAGTTTCACTCAAAAAGAAAATTCTAATAGAATAAACTCGGATATGATGGCCACATCAGAAAGATGACTATAGACTGTAATTTCTCTAATAATTATAAAACATTGTGTTTGTGTAATCAGTCACAAAAATAATCAATATTTATCGTAGTGTATGTGCGTATATTTTTCGAAATAGCAAGATTATGAATATTATATTTTTATTTTCAACTACCTGTAAAATTTCTCATGTATTCACCAAAACTTGCTGTAACGTCGAATAAATTACAGTTAAGCTATCGCAATCAACGTTAGATACATAAAGTAGATATGCAAATTGTAATATAACGTATTTTTATTTTCATTTTCACTATTTGTTTATAAGTACTATTATAACCGTCTTTCACTCACATTTTGGGTAAGATGGTCCACTATCATTCTAACATTTATAAAACGAAAGTCGTTATATTTCAAAAATTATTTTCAATATTACAATAATTAAATCTTATGTGCAATATGTTTTGATCAAATTGAAAAAATGTTAATCAATTTGAAAAAATTGGATTTGAAATTTAAGTTTTGTAATAGAGGTTTCTATTTTATATGTATATTATATTTTTCACAAATAATATGTATTAAATATCCTATACTAAAATGAATATGTCAAATTATGTTTTTTTCATTATTTTATAAAATAATAAGTACAGAATCTTGAACATAAAATATGTATGGACCATTTATTTTTTATGGCTATCTTGTCTTAAACATTTAGGTAAGATGGCCAATGCTCATGTTTTGATATTTTTGTAATAAATAATTTCACTGAAGTATTTTCCTTTTAACTCTGGTGGTATTGTACTGTACTGTACATGTACTGTAGACTTCATTGAAGTAAAATGCCAAACGCTATTAAGAAATATATTTTTTTGCATTTTAAAAAAATATGACCATCTTATCCGAGTTTACCCTACTGGCTGATTAAATTGGCATTTTTCTGTTTGGAGTTCCGCTAATAAAATCGCGAACAGCTCGCAATATAGTAACATTATAAATATATGTCACAATCCCGAATTTGCCCAATAAATTAAGACGCGCTTATTGTTTTATTTACGAATATGGACAGGTATAATGCGCTCGTATTTTAACAGATTAGCTAAGTAGACGATAGCAGACGTTGTCACTACAGCCCATCTACCGTACCGAACATCATTTATCAATCTTTAATTAACATCTTGACTATTATTGCAAATATCGCAAAACGGTATAGGACTTTTATATTCACTTCAATCTGTTCTGCATTCCCACAAAAATCACGGAAGAGAGTCTGGCACATCCTGTATATATCTTTTTGAAAATAGAAAAATTCTATTTGATCTCTTATTTCAATACAAAATTCTGAAAGGATTAATTAGCTGTCTATTTTAGAATTGATTACCTCTTATATTCCTCTAAAAACTCTGTGTGTGTGTGTATGTGTGTGTAAAGTTATCTTCTTTTTATGCTGAAATATATATAGCACATACAAACCAGCTAATCAATTAGTCATTTATACAAATGAATTTAATAATTTAATAATAAACTTCTTTCATATGTCATTATCTCTATTATCAAGGCTATATTATCCAGTTATCTGAACTCGAGTATCTCATGAATCTTACTATTTTATATCGTAAAAATATCTATAATTTTAGAGAAGTTTCTTTTATTATCTCCCTTTTCTTGTCCCCTTGCTACTCTGTTTTATATTTTCAGTTTTTTCTTTTGGTGTATTTTTTTGCTTTTTTCTTCTTTTCTGTTTGTGTTCCTTTTTTATATAGTTATTTATTTTTTATGTAGTACACTGTACCAAAGAGATGACTCCCGTAAATAAATGAATAAATGAATAAAAATGAATGAATAATGAACATAAAAGGACCAACTTTGTATTTTAAAATGATATTAATAAAGAATTGAGAAGATAAAATTTGCTTACTTTTTTCGTGAAAAACTTTACACAATTTCAAGCGTGAACAATTCTGCTCTGCATACGATCGCCATATTGATTTCTTCTACGGGAAGATCACTGTTTCACAGGAACAAAGGATGTATAGCTCCACCTAGAATAAATCAATAGTATTAGATCGATGAAATCATTGCCTTAATATAAAATATTAAAAGATATAAAAAGATTGGGGAGGATTCAAAGTGAAATGTAAATAATCATACACACTAAGATTCAAGAGGTTAATGAGATTTTAAATGTTTAGTATCTCAACATTCATTTGTATTTATTATAAATCTAGTTAATTTCATAACTACTCTCAATACGTACTATAGCAAAACTTAATATTTTTGTTCAAAATATTCATATTTTGTTCAAAAATATTGCAACAGTTTATTTTACATATAAAGCTTTATATTTTACATATATAGCTTTACATTTTACATATACAGCTTATTTTATATATTTTTTTATTTTTTAGTTGTACTTGAATCTTCCTAGAGCGTTTAATAAATTGTGCTATTACGCTTCTTTCTCTTTCTTGTTACAGTAACACATACAGCGCACGCGCGAATGGACAATCGCGACACCTGAAATTCTCGGCGAGCAAGTAAACAAAGGCGCGATTAGTATCCACCTAACACATGGTCGTGACTGGCAACAATACAACGTATTAGCATAATGGCGAGAGTGAAAGCCAATCGAGTAGCCGAGTACAGTGTCCAGAACTAACTCCACTTGACACGGTCATTGTCATTTAAATCATTCGGCATCGAAGCCGAAAGAGTGTTTCGCGTAATAGACGTTTATTGTTCTATGACCGACGCGATAAGAGGCACGCTGCTAAACGAGGAAAGAACGAGTGTACGGTAAAAGACGCGCACATGTCGTGCGACGTTAATCGAAGCAGAAATCTCCGCGAGAGTTTCACCGGAAGCTTCGAACTGACAGGAAACCGTTCTTGCTTTATCTGAAGTCAAATAAATAAATGTTGGTACCAATTGATAAAAAAATGTTTCAATAAGTGCTAAAACTGAAGATTACGTCTGCGAACTCATTAGGGTTCCAGAAATTTGAGATTTTGGCCATTGCCCCATATCGTGTCTTTGTCAGTGTCTTTACTTAGTCACTTTGAAAGCCTTTTGTATAATTTATCTGGAAAACAATGATTGAAGCACAAACATTGATCGCAATGTGTACACCAGAATTTGGAAATCCCACACGGAAAAAGAGATTTGATTGAATTAACCAAATATCTAGTCGAATATGAACGATCCAGAAATTCCGATTTAAGTAACCTGAATTCTGTTTAAGTTAACAAGATTTTTGGTTGACTTAAACAGAATTCAAGTTACTTCAATCGGAATTTCTGAGTCGTTCATATTCGACCAAAAATTGGTTAATTCAACGAAACCTTTTTTTCCGTACAGTATAACCTGCGGAATGATCAATGGAGAGGTACTTAAAATCAAAATAGTACCCTTTGTCACATTTGTAATTAAAATTTCTACCAATGTGACAAATGGCCCAATCAACTACTTTAATTCTTGTTTACGAGTAAAAAAATTTTTTGTGGTCCTGTGTTAAGAACTTTTTATAATATTTACGGCGATTAGTACAAAAGATTGATGTTCGTGATCGTTGCCGATTATTGTTCCACGATTGACAGCCGTTCCACCTTCGAAATTTTAATTATCATTTGGGTAATTTTAGGATGATATCAGGCAAATGTGACAAATGGTGCTGTTTTGATTTTGAATGAGAATCGCTCTCCACTGGTCACTTCACAAGTTGTACTCGGATTTCTGTATTCCGATGTGATTAGATTTAGGATTGATATATACTAAAATTCAAAAGGATAATGAGATTGTAAATCCTTAGTATCTTAACTTTCATTTGTATTTATTATGAACTTGGTTACTATTATAAGTGTACTTTGATTACTATTATAGATATATAGATAAATCCTTTGAACCTTAGTGTGCGATCAGCGTCTGTGCATCAATCACTGCTTTCTAAACAAATTACACGTGAATTGTCATACTTTTGCAATAAATTGCAATACATTTTAATCATCATTTTGATACACCTAGAATAATCTTCTAAAAATCTTCAAAACAACCAAAGATACTGGACGGAACAATGAACAAAATCCTAAATTTCTGTGACTCTGATGAGTTCACAGACGTAATCTTCACTCTCAGAGCACTTATTGAAACGTTCTTTATTTGATTGGTACCAAAACTCATTTATTTGGCTCCGGATAAAGGAGAACGGCCCCTTGTGGGCGACTGATTTCGAGCGATCGGACATTCGATTGCGTTCCATAGAATGCACGTCTGGCTGGATGATATCGGCGAGATAATCGAATACGATATATTTCGGATGGTCGGTCTGCTCGACGGCTGCAACTTGGCCAAACAGACCGCACATCTTAATGGCGCGTACTAAAAAGCGTCTACGGTCACTCGGCGACCAAACGACCTCAACGGGGGCGGTCCCGGTCGCGTCGCTAACGGTAAATGGAAAACTTCAAACTCCCCGCGCCAACCACGTCCCCCTCTCCTCGGCGCTCCTCTAACCGTAATGCATATATTCTCCGTACGGCAATTTTACGACGGCAGTTTCATCGGTGGTGGCGAGAATCGTTTCAGTTTCGCGCAGCGCGATAGGAATTCTATATTTAAATGGACGTAATTAATTATCAAGCGGTAGAAGAACGGCCGTCGCTGGCCACTTACGTAAAAGGAAGAATACGCGTACGTACGTACGTACGTACCTTGCCGTTGTCATCGACGTCGTCGAACCAACGCGCGCAGGCGCGCAATAACGTACGCATCTCGTATCGTAAATAGATAAAACGTCAAGAGTGACACACGCGAGGAACGCATGTACACACCGCGTTCATTCGCACGATCGTAAAAATCTTGGACACGTCATGTGCTGTTGCCACACTAAAATAATTTATATCCGCGTAGCCGGAGGATTGCGCGTTTGAAACGTCAACACCGTGAATCTAATAACTTATTAAAAATCGAACACTCAATTTTGCAAGATGAAACGGGATTGAATAAACCTTCTCCTTCTCTCCCTCTTTCTGTCTTTCTCTCTTTATCTTCATATGAAACTCTCTCTTGTTACTTTCCCAAATAGACAGGTGTATGTAACTTGACAGTAACTTTACTACTCGATTTGTGAAGGCTGCATTCCTTATGACTAATTCATGTGGTATTCATACTTATCACAGAGAATCTGGGTTCGTATGTCTAATCAACTGAAACTTCCCAGACAGGCTTTCATGATTCATTATCACGATGCGAGACAATCAAAAAATTATGGAAACTCTACAATTACTTTAATTACACTAACGAAGCCAATATATTGCAAAATTAATAATTAAATTTACATCATACAATAATGCAAGTTTTTTGTTACATTGATATAATAACAAATTTAATAAAAATTACACTCAGATTTTTATATTACATTTTGAATATCATCACAGTGTATCAAGTAAATTTTAAAAATTTGGTTTATGTTTTCTTCTCGTATCTCTTATTCTATTTTATTTTATATAATAACTATAAGTTTCATATAAACTATAAAAAGTAAAACCTTTACAAATTGACTAATAAAATTGCTACCAAATTTATTAAAAATTACACTTAGATTTTCATATCATATTTTACGTATCATCAGTGTGTTTTGAGTAAATTGTAATAATATTTTACATATTTTGTTTCTCTATCTCAAATTTTTATTCTATCTCATTTTATATGATAAATATGATAAATATGAATCATATGAACTATAAGAATCGCAAAATTTATAAATCGATTAATAAAATTAATGTCAAATTTAATAAAAATTAGACATAAATTTTCATACAAGGTGGCCCACGTAAAGTGTTACAGGCTAATAACATATTTGTCCTATCAAAAAGTTGTTCATGAGATAGTTTCATATATTCGAGGAGCTTTTCTAACTACGTAAACAAAAATCCACTTCCGTCCCCCCTTGAAAAGGGGCGGAGGGTAACTTCAAAGTTTCAAATGGGATCCCCTATACAATGTTATATATTTGGATTCTATGGGAAAAAATAAACTTTGTCTGAAACATTTCTTTGGAAAATGCTCCTATCAAAAGTTATAAACATTTAAACTTTTAGCCATTTCATTGATCTTACACCTTTGGACTATTTTTTATGGGTATATCAAAAAAGAAGTCACATCTCAACCACTTACGACGAAAGAAGACTTAAAACACAAAGAATACATATAGCTTGCACTTGACCCCAGAAATGTTGTTTAGAGTTAGGTAAAGTTTTGTAAAAAGAATTAATAAGTGTTTAGATGTCGAACATTTAATAAAATAAAACAAAACAGAAAAACTATGAGTCTTATTTAATTTATCATTAATTTCAATGCATTCTACATTAAAGTTTAAATGTTTATAACTTTTGATAGGAGCATTTTCTAAAGAAATGTTTCAGACAAAGTTTACTTGTTTTTTCCCGTAGAATCCAAAAATGTAACATTGTATAGGCGATCCCATTTGAAACTTTGAAGTTATCCCCCGCCCCTCTTCAAAGGGGGACGGAAGTGGATTATTGTTTACGTAGTTAGACAGGCTCCTCGAATATATGAAACTTTCTCATGAACAACTTTTTGATAGGACAAATATGTTTAGAGTTATTAACTTGTAACACTTTACGTGAGCCACCCTGTATATCATATTTTGTATGACAGTATTTTAAATAAATTTTAACAATTTTAATATCTTATATCTTATTTATCTCATTTTATAAAATAAATATGAATTATAAATATAAATTATAAAAAATATAACCTTTAAAAATCAATTAGTAACGTTACTGCTAAATATAAATACATCTGTTTATTTGAATAGCTTTCTTTTTTCTTTCCTTCCTATATAAAATTAATTTAACCCTTACGGTGAATAGATATTTTCGAAACTTTTTTTTTATCTCAAAATTGTTTAAAAATTATAAAAAAATTTGTGCAGCTTTTTTCTCAGCTAATTATGAAGTTATTTAAAAAAATATTTGTATGATTTTTTTATTGCTTTGAGAATAAGAATTTAAGACTAAAGTTA